TTGAGTGATGAATGCAAATGTCAGAACAAAGCTTTGTTACTGTTGTTCTATGCTGTGGAGTAGGACCGAAGACCCCTCCTTGGGTTTCCCAGGAGGTATCACTATGGAAGTAGATTGCCCAACTTTCCTTCCAAGGAGTGGCTAGTGGGTTTGAACCGCCAGCCTTGTGGTTAGCAATCAAGTGCCTTAGGCACTACGCTGCCAGAGCTCCTTACAACAAAGCTTAGAGAAGGTAATATTTTGCAATCTAATTCTAGATAAGTAGTTGGTGAGTATGAAGAGTGTGGTGGTTTAAGAAAGCTAAGGTTTGAGATTTCTATGTTACACATGTATTTAACACTTCATTAGAATGTTCCTAACATACAAGCTGTCTTGATTTACAGATGACCACTTACTCCACCAAACTGACATTGTTGGAAGCATGTAGAAGGCGGACAGATAGAGGATCTAGAGAACATATGATTAGAAGAGGTTTGGGAAGGCCTGACGGAAGAAGGATTGTATCCTGGGATGGGCTCTCAGGCAGAACCGATCTACTGCTGAAAACGTCTTTATTGCTTTATATTTTTTACTACTCTTTGTAATACTCTTTGAAACTCATCAATTAGCTAATTATTATGTTTAATAAGTATCCTTTAAATTATTATTCATTCATTGACTCTAGTGTTTACCTGCTATTCATCTGAAACCAGTTCTACTGAGAGAATGGAGGACCTACAGGAGGAAACAGTAGGGGCTCTACAGGTGTCACTGAAGAGGGTCGTGACAAAGATGCAGGAGGGTGCTGATAGAAAAACTTATGAAATTTTGCCACTTGCTGAGTTTTTAAGAAACTTCTCCCTTCCATACCGGTTTGGTTTCCTCCTAGAACTAAGTCTATTACCCTTAGTTAAGGAGTAAGTCATCTCCCAAGTTCCATTTCTTTAAAAACCCTATGGAACACAGTTCTGCTATGATACACATGGGGTCTTCCATGAGTTGGAATCAACTTGCTCCCTCTTACGTAGCTTGCTTGGCAACCTGGCCACAATCTCTTATTTGCATTGTTTTTGTGAGAAAATGTATTCTGGGTTCCATGCCAGCTGTGTGTACAGTGTAATTGCTGCTTTTGCTTATGCAATATCTGTTCTTTTGTGGTAAAAGTAACCTGATTTTCTCATATAGGATTACCCTAACTTCTCTTTGGTGTGGTTGACACCAACTGCAAGGACAGCTGTATGATCCAGGATTAGTGTCAGCATACATCCTTCCCCTGACCATTTTGGTTAAGAGGTATGATCCAAGATAGGTAAATGTGGTCCTGAGAGTTGCCTGAAACTTGTTGGAAATAAAGCTCTCTCCCTCCACAGGAGCTGTTAAGTTGTGTAAGCCTGGAGTTAGTTACTCAACTTCAAATTGAGCCCACATAAAGAACAGCAGAGCCAAGAAATGAGAGGCATGAACCCTTACCTGAAGCCTGATTGCTCGTGGGCCTCCCTCTTAGGGGAGCCAATACATTCTCTTTTCTTTCTTTCTTTTTTAACTTAAGTCAGTTTGAATTTCTGTCATCTGTCACCGAAAGAATCCTAACTCACTTCCTTTGGGACACAATTCATTTGGAAATTTGATTGTCTATTCATTTGTGCCACTTCTGTGTCTCATAATGACAAGTAGATGACTATTCTTGATTCAGCCTTTACAGTGGTCAAATGCATGGAACTTGAAAATAATGAAATTGCTACTTTAGTAGCATGCACCCTACCTCTCCTCTGATTGGATCTGGACTACTGACGACAGCCGATTCAACAACTGCTGGGTGCTCAATTAGTGCACTCTCCACTTCAAATGGCCCAATACGGTACCTAGAAGAAGAAAAGGAGCCTTTGGTCACTCACTACACCACCAAAGGAGGAGATTGTTACAGAATTTTTCACTTTCTAAGTATGGCCAAATGTACTAACCCAGAGGATATGATGATATCATCAGCTCTTCCAACAAACCAGAAATAACCATCACTGTCCATCACTCCTCTGTCTCCAGTGACGTAAAAATTTCCTCTCATTGTGGCAGCAGTTTTCTCTGGATTGTTCTAGGAATCACAGGTGGCAATTTGGGGATTAATTTAGAACATAGAAAGAGGTATGGCACCCACTAAGTGACTAGTACGTTACACATCCTTTTATTTATTTATATTTTTACACATCCTATTTAAAAAAAGAAATTAATATTGGTTCCAAGTATAAACTACAAAAGAGTAATAAAATGTAAGTTTCTCGTCTACTCCAGTGCCTCCACGTCCCACATCCCGCTCCCTCAGCTTATGCAGTTTTCCTTTCGGAAGACAAGCACAACAAACGGTTTCTTATAAACCCACTGCCGGTGAGTTGATTCTGACTCATAGCGACCCTATAGGACAGAGTAGAACCACTCTATATGGTTTCCAAGCTATAAATCTTTACTGAAGCAGACTGCCTCGTCTTTCTCCTGCATAGTTTCTTATACACAGAATTTAATCTTTACAGAACTCTTAGGAGACAGATGGTGTATGCATTTTTTAGCTGATGAAATAGCTTGGATTTTGTGATTTGCCCAAGGCAAAACAGCAAGAAATGGTGGCTGTGAAATGTGATCTGTATGATCCTGAATACCATGTTTTCTATTAAAGTGTGACTAGCACATTCTACATTCTCATACCACATATTCAGAGAAGAAACAGAAGGGCCATGTAGAATTTACTCTGAGGGCAATGTCCCCTTCTTGGCCAGATGGTAGGATATTGCTGTTTTCATCTATAATCTGGAATGAAAGAAACAACTTAGGTTCTTAAATTTTTTTTTTCATGAAATGAAAATGTGTTGTGAATAGTTGTACAACGAATATGAGAAAACTGTAAAACATTATCGCTTCTTTACTGAACCAGTCAGATATTTTTCTTAACCCACCTGGACATCATAGGGTGCTATACCTTTGCCCATGGAGCCTGGTTTAATTTCTTGTCCTTTCTGATTGGCACAAATGATCCCCTGTTGAGAAGACATGCAAGTATGCAAATTTCTATTTTATATATCTATTAAAAAACCACAAAAAAACCAAACTCACTGCTGTTGAGTTGATTCGACTCATAGCAACCCCTCCTTGGGTTTCCAAAGTGATATCACTATGGAAGTACATTACCCAATCTTCCTTCCGAGGAGTGGCTAGTGGTTTTGAACCGCCAGCCTTCTGGTTAGTAGTCAAATGCCTTAGGCACTACGCCACCAGAGCTCCCTCTCTATTTATATATCAGAATAAAATATACATGAGAATGAAACTTATGATTCAGTTTTGGCTGATTTCCTCAGTATGCAAGCTCATCTTCTGAAATATATTACTCTAGACGAGTGGTTCTCAAACGGAAGCATGTACCAGCATCACCTGGCACGTTGTTGAAACACAGATGGCTGAGCCCCATCCCAGAGCTTCTGACTCAGTAGGTCTGAGGTGGAGCCTAAGAAGTTGCATTTCTACCAAATTCCCAGATGCAGCTGTTGCTGCTGGTTTGGGAACCACAGTTTGAAAACTGCTTTAGACTCCAGGTACTGTTAAGTTCGCTTTGAATAAATTCCCATCTGAGTCTCCCTGAGGCCCCTCCTGG